TTTGTAGGATGAAATCCCGACGATCTGAACCGAAAAGGACTCGTAGAAAGACGACGAGAAACCCTCGATACTTTCTTCCACCACGACACGTCTGGTGGACGGAGACACGGGAGTTAGCGGAATGAGCTCCGCGGAGATATATATATTAAAGCTAGCGGAGGCGGTTTCATATTAGGGACCGTACGTTATTTATCGGGGGGGGGCGGTTACCATTTTCAAGAGTTCACAAAATCTTTAGGACAATGCTAAATTCTGGAGCGCCGGGTGTCAGCGGAAGACACACATTGAATGGGGCCACCTTGCCTGCTGTGACCTGGCCGGACCACGGAAAAGTTAGCTCGGCGTAGCTAGTTTATAAAAAATTCGATTACGGAGGAGTGATCCTGTGCTACCGAATTTAAAATTTGATGCAAACCAAAACCCCCGCTATGAGAACGAAAGGCATCACATGCTGATGGAAGCAGACAACATTCACGAGACCTACAACACAGCAAAGGAAGACAGAGACACGGACAATCGTCACACTGGCCGGAATGAGAGTAGGACTTCCTGAAGGAGCAAACAACCACAGAACAACCAGATGTACCTAGCCCTCTCCCGGTACATCGAGAGTACGCGCCGATTTGACGTGCTCTCCTAGAAACACTCTCCGCTTCACACTAGCACGAGTCACAAGTGTTAATACCTTGAGAGATCATTGACTCTGAACTGAACCAAGTGAAAAACTGAGCACCTAGAGACCACGTCTAGCGACATAATAGACGTTAAACAAGGACAACAACAACAACAACAACGTACCTGAGTTGTTTGTAGGATGAAATCCCGACGATCTGAACCGAAAAAGGCTCGTAGAAAGACGACGAGAAACCCTCGATACTTTCTTCCACCACGACACGTCTGGTGGACGGAGACACGGGAGTTAGCGGAATGAGCTCCGCGGAGATATATATATTAAAGCTAGCGGAGGCGGTTTCATATTAGGGACCGTACGTTATTTATCGGGGGGGGGCGGTTACCATTTTCAAGAGTTCACAAAATCTTTAGGACAATGCTAAATTCTGGAGCGCCGGGTGTCAGCGGAAGACACACATTGAATGGGGCCACCTTGCCTGCTGTGACCTGGCCGGACCACGGAAAAGTTAGCTCGGCGTAGCTAGTTTATAAAAAATTCGATTACGGAGGAGTGATCCTGTGCTACCGAATTTAAAATTTGATGCAAACCAAAACCCCCGCTATGAGAACGAAAGGCATCACATGCTGATGGAAGCAGACAACATTCACGAGACCTACAACACAGCAAAGGAAGACAGAGACACGGACATCGTCACACTGGCCGGAATGAGAGTAGGACTTCCTGAAGGAGCAAACAACCACAGAACAACCAGATGTACCTAGCCCTCTCCCGGTACATCGAGAGTACGCGCCGATTTGACGTGCTCTCCTAGAAACACTCTCCGCTTCACACTAGCACGAGTCACAAGTGTTAATACCTTGAGAGATCATTGACTCTGAACTGAACCAAGTGAAAAACTGAGCACCTAGAGACCACGTCTAGCGACATAATAGACGTTAAACAAGGACAACAACAACAACAACAACGTACCTGAGTTGTTTGTAGGATGAAATCCCGACGATCTGAACCGAAAAAGGCTCGTAGAAAGACGACGAGAAACCCTCGATACTTTCTTCCACCACGACACGTCTGGTGGACGGAGACACGGGAGTTAGCGGAATGAGCTCCGCGGAGATATATATATTAAAGCTAGCGGAGGCGGTTTCATATTAGGGACCGTACGTTATTTATCGGGGGGGGCGGTTACCATTTTCAAGAGTTCACAAAATCTTTAGGACAATGCTAAATTCTGGAGCGCCGGGTGTCAGCGGAAGACACACATTGAATGGGGCCACCTTGCCTGCTGTGACCTGGCCGGACCACGGAAAAGTTAGCTCGGCGTAGCTAGTTTATAAAAAATTCGATTACGGAGGAGTGATCCTGTGCTACCGAATTTAAAATTTGATGCAAACCAAAACAAGATTTGATATCACAAGAAGTATTACATGAATGGAATAAGTAAGAATAGCCACTAGAATCTAATATTTCTTTCACACGCTGTAGTAATGTTCTTCTCTGACATTGCGCACTTTGTTGAAACAGAAGAGCGTCAGCTT